ACCTCTCATCGACGAAATTATAGTAAAAAATATTTTGAATTTTATTCTGCACATTTCTATTAGTATCATACTACATTATAGAAATGAATGTATGTCATGAATTCACTTTATGTTCTGTTCGTTTGAATGACAAAAGAAAAATGAGAGTAGCTGAATTTGAAATCTTTTTTTTTTTTATTTCACAAAACATTCAATTTTCGTACATGATAAATGATCAAATTTATTATGGTCTCCACTAAATACATATATACAGAGTGTCCCATAAGCCATTGTACAAGAAACAGTTGGAATATCTCCTCTATCTTTTGGTCAAATAGGCTGATTGTTTTACCACTGATTAAGCATGATTCATACTGTGCGGGCTCAAAAAAGCATGTATATTTTTGTTTTTATCACACTAAAACCTCACTAAATTCGTTGCTTTCCAAATAGTAATTATAGAGTTTTGTTCATTTTTTTATGCTCTTTCATATGAAAGAGTTGGAATTCAAAAACAAATCAAAATTTTATTAATTAATTGCTAATTATTATTAATTATTAATTAACTGCAATATAAGTATAAGTGCTTGTTACCAAAATGTAGCCCATTAAATTCTGCGTCGAATGGTATATAGAACATCTTGCAGATGTTATGAAATAACGTAAAAATTAGCCAAATACTAAAAGTGTGCTAAACTTTTTTCCTTACTTTATGTTACAGTGTTTAGTATTTTGACTATAACATCGTCATTACTCAATGAAAATCAAAAAAAAATTTTACCAAAATGATCAGCGAAAAACGCTCTACAAAGTTCGATATGAGAGAAAATTTTCAGAGTATCCTTATTATTCGTTTATGCATAAAAACAAAATGTACATGCTTTTTTGAGCCCTCACTGTAGCTCATACCCATAAAAAAAACGAACGACACACCTTAGTACTTAATGTATTATCAAAGTCTCAATCATAAATAGTGAGACTTTGTTGAGAAAACTGCAAAAATGTCTCATGAAATTAAGATTTGTTGCAATGCTTTTTCAATTATCCTTTCCGGTTAAATTTGAATTCTTTTACAGCTTCCTCAACAAAGTCTAGCTATTTATGGCTGAAACTTTGAGAATATATTAAGTACTACGGGTGTGTGTGTGGATGTAGATGTGGACTGGTTTGTATCAGTCTCATTGTTATTCACGTCAGCACCTTTTATGACACAGCATATACGGATAAACTGCGTATGTTAAATTGCATATTTGAGCAAATAGGCTCTTTTTGAAAACATTTTTAAAACTGAATCGTTTTGATGACGAGAGTTAGCCGAAACCAACATTTCTGAACATGAGAGGAGTTCAAAAACTTCAATTTTTACGTCAATGAGTGACCCCTATTACAATTTACCTTTTTGTTTGCTGTTCTGAAAAGAACCAACAAAAGCAGAGCAAGAAATTTGCCTATATATATTTATTTTTCTTCCACGTTGTTTTGCTCTCGTGACGCATTTGTTTGACAATAACAAAAAGAATGAAAAGAAACAAAATACTAAATTCATGACTATAAGCCGCAAGAAGTACATTTGTTCTAGTAAATTATTTTAATTTCTCTTGATTTTAATAGCTAATGCAACGGAGTGGAAGATCTAATGATATAAAAAGTTTTATTTTTAGGACAAACATCTGTCGATAAGAACACATTTACACGTGCATGCATTTTTAAATCATCTTTTTTTTTTAATACTAATCTAGATAACGATATAAATGGTTCTATGAAAGTGCTTATATCAGCTTTGTTTTTTTTTTTTCTATAGATCAAGATACATTTGAAACAGCAAATATAAATATTGATGAAAATATAATGCTCGAGAAAAACATGATAAAATTGGTGAGTCATGTGTCCACAACTACGTCAAACTTTTGTATTAACTGTTAATCATTGATATTTACGTTTAATCGATGCAAAAAAAATTCGAAGATATTAGTGTTTATAATGGTTTACATGAATAATATCTATGAATTATATGTCATTTGTTTTTATTACAGAATTACTTTGGTATCTAAATATTACTGCCCATTTCAAAATAAAAGGCACGTGAGTATTTTTTGAATAAATTTTGATAGGAACAAGATAGAGAGCTACGGTTTTCACCGTTGGAGAGAGGCTGAGTCAACGCATCGATTCATATAAAATTGTTAAGGTTCACCTCGAGAATAGGTAGTGATCGATTGTCATCTTGAAAGAGAAGACTACTGCTCTTTGAAAATAGTGCAAATCTTAAACTTCGAGGAGTATGCTAGAATCGCCAGATCAAGACCTACAAAACTGTATATAACGCTTTGTTCAAAACTTTACTGGTTTGGGGGTTCTCGGTTCTATATTCCACAATTATAGTCCATTTTGCCAGCGATTTCTGTTAAAAAACTCAGTTTTTTTCGTTTTTCCTGAAAAAAATCGCACCTGTTTTTAAGGCATTTTTTTGTTCCACAATTGCAAAAGGTTTCAAAGATCCAAATTAAAAGTCATTGTCCTATATGGTTCGATGCGTTTTCATCTGCTCTTTCTAACGGTGAAAATCGTAGTTCTCTATCTTGTTTCTATCAAAAGTTATTTCAAAAATACCCACGTGCCTTTTATTTTGAAATGGGCAGTAGTGCTTTTGAAAATCGTATGCTTATGGTTCAAATGTTCAATCAAGTTTTTCTAAACCTGAAAATCCATGAATTTCTTGAAAAACTCTTCTTAATGTTTTACGTAATAATATTGGCATTGACATATCTATTGCAAAAGAAAATCCATATTTAATTTGCTAATGGAATTACTTCATTCCTTAGCTGCATATGAAATAAATAATATTGCATTTTAATCAAAGCAATTTGAAGAATATGAATTTGATAATTTTAACTCAAGTTATTATTCTGAACAGTATGGAAAGAATTGCTTATACAAAATATTGTCATTCTAAACATTATAACACTATGACACAATGAACAAGATACAGGTATCATTTTTTGGAACAATTTCTTAAAGCATTTTGTTCTGCAGATTACAATGAATTTATTTTCTTGTTGCAATGATTGATAATTATTCTAGAAAAATTAGATTTATCAGTACTAGCGGTGTAAGCTCAGCGATGGAGCCTTCAAAATTTCACGAAACGAAATTATTTTTGAAAGCAATTTGATAAAGTTTTCTTGTCTTATATTATTTCATTCCAATTATCGAGAATAATATTCTAAGTTCAATCGTGATATTTTCGATAACTCTCTCGAATATATCTTGAAATCTTCATTAGTTACTTTTGTCTTAAGATTGACGTAGAATGTCATAAGAAGAGAATGATTTAAAGATAATCAAGTTTATGAAAGAGAAGTGGACTGGAAAATACCAGTCAGAGATGGAATCAGTTCGGTTAAAAATACCCAAATTAATTTACCATCTCTGATTCTTATAACACACTAGTAACAGAATATCCTCGATTCAGTATTTTCGAATGTTGTGCACGAGGTTAAAAGTTCACATAAGTCTAATTGAAATGCTCCTAAGAGAACATATGATTATATCCATAAACTCATTAGTTTGGTTCAAAAATAATTCTTCAATCATCTTTAAAAGATTCTGTCGTATATTTTAAGACACTCAAATATACACAGGCGAATAAAAACATTATATGCTAAAACATGAATCATTATCATTAAACTTTTTTTTTATATACTTTGATCGTATTAAGATGAGTTTGTTTTAAGATTGTTTAAATCTTATTCAAAATACATCGAAAACTATATTAATTTATGAAATTTTGTTCTATATTTATAGGGATATGCACTGTTTGCAGCTGTCATTGGCATTATCATATGTATATGAAATTTGAACATCTTAAATCTTTCATTAATGCTAAAACTAAAAATACTGCATTCGCTACAATCAAAAAGTGTATTATAGATTTAAAAGATGATGAAACGCATATGCTAAAATTATTTAGTGAACTGTTACAATTTCTTCAAAAAAAAATATTAATATTCCAATTAATGATAATTTTATTCATTATTATATTAATAATTTTATTCAAAAAGGGCAAAAATAAATAAGCAATCGATTGAGTTATTTCAAAAAACATTAAATAATTGTAACAGAATATTTGAAAAGGAATTTTTCATTAAGAAAAATTTTCAATTGGTCGACGTAAGTAAAATATCTTTTATCTAAATTTTAATCAAATTTTTTTTACTAAATTGTAGACTTAAATTTTTCTTTTTTTTTTCAGATCTATCTATCATATTTTCTAACGAAAACTAATTTCTATCGATATATTCTATTACCAATTAGTTTTTTCATTATTTACTCAGCATTTTTGGTATTGCACATGGTTTCAATATTCTAGAAAATGATTGAGTCAAGAGATGAAGTAGCATTAAGTACACGAACATTCTCTCAATGTTCTTCGTTTGTGATATTGTTGCTGAATATTTTCATGAGATTCTTCTCTTCTATTTACAATTTTACTTCAATCAGGGTCTCACCTTGAAAAACTGTATAGTTGTCTATCATTTAAATCATTCGAATTCTTCCTCTAAGCATAGATCATATCTAAACAAGATTTTTTAATCGATATGTTTATTGATTTATGTAAATGATCAATGTCAAGTATGTATGAAAAATGAATAACTGAATCTTTTGTTAAAATATGCCAGGTTCAAACAGTGTTGTTTTAGTTTCTTTTTTTCTAGATTGTCAAATCAAGGCATTTATATACCAGTAAAAAAGTGAGTATATGAACGAGAGATCGCGCAGTCTATCAAGTCTAAACTTGCTTAAATCTCAAGATGGATATCCAATCGAACGAAAAGTAATCGAAGCTTCAGGTCGATTAGGTTCCCTTTATGATGCTTCAACAGATAACTTAATTGATCGACATGCTGTTCAAAAAGTTGAAAGAAAAATACCACGTAGACGTTCTATATGTCGACTACTCTTAGGTGATCAATCGAAAGATCTCATTAGTTTTCTCAAAGATATCGACTTTGACGATGCAATTCGACAAAGTATTTGTCTTCAAATGGTTACACCAAACGGCATTAGCCGTCTTATTGAATATAATCAACCTATTGATGAGAATACTCGCTTTCTATATTATTCTTATAGAGCTAGAAAAGAATGGTTAGATGTGACAGCTCATCAAACGAATAGAATCGTTGCAGCACCATCACTTCCAACTGAAGCAACTCATATGATAACAAAAATTTTATGGGGTTTTGAAGTTTTATGCATCATACAAATTCTAAAAAATGAATTTGCAAATCCAGTTGATCGATTACTTCATCATATTTGTGATCAACTTCAAGATAATAGGATTCCAGTTAAACTTAGCAGTAATGATCGACAGCTCATCAATCAATTAAATAATATTATTGTATATGGATCCGAAACGTGTGTCAATCAATCGAATATATCATTATTAACTGTTCTCACAAGAATACAAGATTGGCAAAAAGATTCAAACGTTCATCAACCACTTATCTACACGATGCAACCGTTAAGATGGCTTTACAATAATCCACAATTTGATGTACCATGTACTTTTCCCAGACCAGATAATCCTCATACTGCACGAATTGAAAATGTAATCAATCGAATAAATAATCAGATAAAAGATCTTGGAAAAATATTTCTAAATCTTCCAACAAATTTTTCTAGTGCAACACTTGATCAACGTTTAAAAACTTTTCAACAACAATATCGTTTTGTATTAGATTCACAGAATAATTTTCAAGAACATCTTAAACAAACACTTTCAGATATTCGTCGACATCGTGCCGAACCAACAACATTAGATGATATTATTGGCGATCAACGTTATGAATGTTTACGTAAAACCGAAATAGATAAATTTCTCACTCGTATTCAACTATTGTTAAACAAATCGATATTTATCGAAAAATTAAAAAACAATCATATTGAATATATCAATGTGTCCGATGTTCGTCCTAATCAAGAAATACCAATGACGATTGATGATATTGATGTCGTACTTAAACATACTTATTCCAATGAGAATGATTCTATAATTCTTTGGTATTCAAGTGACCGTTTAAAACGTGAAGAAGAAGATAGATATCAACAAATATATCAAGAATTAATTTGGGAAGTGCAACATGTAGAACAACGAATAAAATTAGTCTATATTGATTTCACCTACCTAAAAGAAAAATTAGAAGATTTTATCATTGTACGATTACCATTAACACAAACACCAATAACTGAGCGTGATTCTAAGAGAAGTAAGAGATCAACTTAGAGAAAAAAATAATTCATTTTTTCGTTAATTTTACACATGACACTTAGCTCTCTTCTTTTGAGAAAAGTCGACTGGCTTAAGCTAATCCTGGTAATGCTCATAATGACTTTAAAGTGTATACAAAAAAAAAGCTGTTAGCGCAATCCCTTGCGGGATTAAAAATGTGAAACACGATGGCTCTATTATTACTAATTAAATGGAAATCCTTTTCTTCCATTACGTTGCGATACATTTGTAGCTAACCGTTAATCTGATGCTTTACAACTACAGTTTCTCTGTCACGGTCTGTGATGGGTACCTGAATTCTCTGTCACGGTCTGCNAAAACGTGAACAAGAAGATAGATGGCAACAAATAGATCAAGAATTAACTTCAGAACGACAACATGTAGAACAACGAATAGAATTAGTCTATGTTGATTTCACTTACTTCAAAGAAAAATTAGAAAATTTTACCATTGTAAGATTACCATTGGCAGAAATACCGGAAACTGAGCGTGATCCTAATACAGGTAAGAGATCGGGTTAGGTGAAGAAAAGTCCATCTTTTCGTTAGTTTCATGGACGACATTTAGCTCTTTTCTGTTGAGAAAAGTCGACTGGCTTAAGTTAACTTTAGTAGTAATCATAACAGCTATATAGTATATAAACAAACATATTCAACATGTTATCGAACGAATCATCCATAACATATATATATATAGTCATCATTAATTTTCTGAAAATTGTCATTTCCTAATTAGTGATAGAGATGTTCGAACACAGTCTTCATCGTGTATATGTCAAATAACTTAGATAATAAATCGTAGTCGCTCAAAACGAAGGGTAAACCCCATCACCCTCGTTTTCGACCAAAAACTCGATTTCGAGCTTAGCATAAGATATGATAGTATGAAGTGGCTGGCGCAATTAGAGATATCATTTGACTCTCAATAGTTTACTGTTACAGATTTAGTGAAATAAGGAAACTTTTTTTTTCACAGTAATTATATTGAAATTCTTCTCTTTTACCTAGCGTAACGAAAAACACCAGTTTTTTTGATCCTGGCTGCTTACGGCCTTCCTCTAACTTTGTTCTATCGGGCTGAAACTTTTACCACAGATTCTTGGAAGTATTCTCCAGAATTCAAATGGGCAGTTTTCGTTTTTGAGTGTCCTGTTTGGATTTATAGGGTTCAGAAAGCCAAAGCCCCGGTCTTGGCTCAGGGCCTTTACGTATTTCTCTCATAAAAAAAACAAGAAAGTGAGATTTTAGAAAAGCTTAAAATTACATTTGAGATATAGTCTTATGTATCTTCAATAACCTTTTCAACCCAATCGGATAAAGTTTGATGCGGGTCGTCATATGCCAGGATGCAGTCCTATAAAAAAACCAGGGTTTTTCAGGAAAAGCTACAAAAATCCACTTCAAAATTTTTGCCCTCGAACACGTGTCTCCTTATTTTTGGTGCTTTAACTGATGTATAAATTTCAGCTAGAATGGTTGCAGTGCCTTCAAGAACCAGAAAAGAGGGGATGGGGTACCCTTACATCAGATTATATGAAAATAGTGTAAAACGAATTTTTGTAGAGTTAGAGAATCTTCCAGTATCAAAACCAAATAAATATTTCTATTTAGACATAGTACCTACACCACCCGAATATCCAAATACACCTCCGCCGATTGAAATAAATGTACTGTTCTTGGGAGAAACAGGTGTTGGAAAATCAACATTCATTAATGCATTTGCCAATTACTTAAAATTTGAAAGTCTTCAGGAAGCTGAACAAGGTGAACCAGTTGTATTAATTCCAGTTTCATTTCTCATTACTGTTGGTGATCGATTCGATGAATTTGCTGTCAAATTTGGTAATGTTGATTCGAATGAAAATCATGAACATCAAGGTCAATCAGTAACACAACAATGTAAATCATATGTATTCGATCTAAACAACGGATTACGTTTACGTTCAATTGATACACCTGGTATCGGCGATACACGAGGAATTAATCAAGATGTAAAAAATATTGATCATATATTGAATTATATCAATAATTTATCTCATTTAAATGCTATTTGTTTGCTACTCAAACCAAATGCTTCTCGATTAAATATTTTCTTTCGTTCATGTGTTAACCAATTATTAACTTATTTAACACCAAGTGGTTATAATAATATTATTTTCTGTTTTACAAATGCTCGAGCAACTTTTTATGCACCCGGTGATACTGGTCCATTACTTCGCAAAATGCTTCATGATGAACATCTTAATGATATTCCATTTCAAAAAGAAAATACATTTTGTTTTGATAGTGAATCATTTCGATATTTAGCTGCAAGAAAATGTGGTATTGATTTCGATGAATATCGAAAACAAGAATGTATTGCTAGTTGGAATACATCAGTAACTGAATCAGTTCGTTTACTTACTTATATTCAAGGATGTAAATCATACAATCTAGAAAAATGGTTATCCCCTCGGAAAGCTACTCTTGACATATCAATGCTCGCTCGACCTCTCATGGAAACATTACGATTAATTATTTATAATTGGAAATTAAACGAATCTCAATTAATTGATAATCATATGGCATTGAATTCAAATCCAATCGATATTGAAATATGTACTCGTTGTGCACAAATTAATATCGTTGAAATAGGTCCATTTTGGTTAACTGAATATCAGCCGACTATTTTAAAAACCGATTCAAATCAACATCATCTTTGTCCTACAAATGAAAAACATTTTTTGATTGAATCCAATGTAACACATGAATTTGTTCCACTACCAGCAGGTCTTAAAAATGAACGATGGCAAAGTTCTTTTCATAATTTTCTATTTAAATGTGATCGACTTCTTCATGTCTTACGACAACAAGAACTATCAAGTCAAGATGATCCATTTCAATGTATACTCGAACGTTATCTCGAAGAAGAAGAACAAATTTCTCAGACTCGTAATATGAATTTGAAGATGAATAGATCAATNACATTCATTAATGCATTTATTAATTATTTAAAATTTGAAAGTCTTCAACAAGCTGAAGAAGGAGAACCAGTTGTATTAATTCCAGTTTCATTTCTCATTACTGTTGGTGATCGATCCAAGGAATTTGCTGTCAAATTAGGCAATAGTGATTCGAATGAAAATCATGAACAGCAAAGTCAATCAGTAACACAACAATGTAAATCATATATATTCGATTTGAATAATAGACTACGTTTACGATTCATTGATACACCTGGTATTGATGATACACGAGGAATTAATCAAGATATAAAAACTATTGATCATATATATAATTACATGAATAATTTATCTCATTTAAATGCTATTTGTTTATTATTGAAATCAAATGTTTCTCAATTGAATGTTTTCTATCATTCATGTCTTAATCAATTGTTAACGTTTTTAATACCAAATGGTTATAATAATATTATTTTTTGTTTTACAAATACTCGACCAAATTTTTATGCACCAGGTGATACTGGTGTATTACTTCGAAAAATGCTTGATGATGAAAATCATCTTAATAATATTCCATTTAAAAAAGAAAATACATTCTGTTTTGATTGTGAATCATTTCGATATTTAGTTGCAAGAAAATGTGGTATTGATTTCGATGAATATCAAAAACAAGAATGTATTGTTAGTTGGAATACATCAGTTACTGAATCAGTTCGTTGACTTAAATTTATTCAAATATGCAAACCATACAATCTAGAAGAATGGTTATAATTACGAAAAGCTACTCTTTATATAATAATGCTCGCTCGACCTCTCATGGAAACATTACGATTAATAGTTTATAATTGGAAATTAAATGAAGCAAAATTAATACTTAATCATATGGTATTAAATTCAAATTCAATTGATATTGAAATGTGTACTAATTGTGCACAAATGAATGTTGTCGAAGTCGGTCCTTTTTGGTTAACTCAATATCAACCATCTATTTTGAATAACAATACAAATCAACATAACAGTTGTCCTACAAATGGGCAACACTTTTTGATTGAATTTAATGTAACGTATGAATTTGTTTCACTACCAGCAGGTCTTAAAAATGAACGATGGTAAAGTTCTTTTCATAATTTTCTATTTAAATGTGATCGATTTCTTCATTTTCTACGACAACAAGAACCAACGACTCAAGATGATCCATTTCAACTTATACTCAAACGATATATTAAAGAAGAAGAACAAATTTCTCAGATTCCTAATATAAATTCGAATATGAATAAACCAATATATGATGTATTAAATTCTGTAAAACAAATACGTACAGAAAATAGTCAAAAATTATATGAATCAAATGAAAGACTTTCATTGAATCAAGTCTATCAAATAATCAATGAATTAACAGCCATACCGACAGTTAGAAAACAAATAGATAGTATCAAGAGAAGTCGTCAATTAAAAATGAGACAATAAGAACGTACAATACCAAAAAATTCAATAAAAAACAAAATCTTTATTTGATTTTCTAATTCTCATCGATGACGTTTTTTTTTTCTCGATTTTTTTAAAATTATAAACCAATTTAAATAAAATACACCTTTGGAAAGAGTATACTCTTTATGATGCAAATCTCATCACTAAATGTACTTTTTTATTTTGTATCTAATATTTAAAAAAATGAACAGATAATAGAAAATGATATTGCACGAAGGTGAAGTTGGTTCTTTCTAACAAAAAAAAATTGATTGGATTAGAAGTTAGCCATAGTTTGATATTTGTACAAAAACTTTTGCATCGCATGTTATAGACGAAAATGTTGGCATGAGAAATATTATTGAATATGAACGAACATAAAATTAAAATGAAGGAATAGTATATGAAATATGTCAAAGAAACTTTATTCAAGAAAATTCAAAAACCATTTTCCAGACAGATGAAATTTATAATCTCATGAAAATTCTACCAATAGCATCATTGTGATCTGTCTTATAATTTTTACAATTAAAATCATTGAGGTGCATTCATTTCTTCGGATTAATTTGATTATACAAATTTGATATAATTCTATGATCCTGAATAGCAAAGAATTCTTTGATTTCGCAATTAAAGTAAATATGTTCGATATATTGCTGTTTATTGTTATACAGTTTGATATAATGATGAAGGGAAACATCATAGATGTCATAATACCATTACACTGGGTATCAACAGCTAAACGTCAGGATACCTAACAGAGTAATCAAGTGAATTCAGTTTCACATCACAGAACTAACAGAGAGAAGTAATGACTTCATTACCCTTAAGGTAATACCCCAAAGAGAAGCAATTTTTCTGGTGGTGCGAAGATATATTGTGGCACTGGAAGAGATGAAGTGATTATTGCTTGAACTGGTAGCCATTCGATACAAGTGAATACGCTTTAGTTGAATACCCTACTAGTTTTCGTGTTGTGGGAATGTAGATACCCGGTGTAACGAGATTATGACACCACTCAGAAACATGATGAAACTTTGAAACCTTTGTGCTCAGCAAATTTCACCAGTATTTTTTTATGAAAGTCTAGCTCCATCTTATCTAAGAATTTTGACAATAGTTATATTCAAAATGATTTTTATAAAAGTAATTTGAATTCGAGAAAAACAGGTGAATGCATTTGTAACATGTTAAGTATCAAATCGATGTACATTGACAAAACTAAGTAATTGGTATTACTACATTATGTTCGATTATTTCCAGGTAAAAATTCAATATTTATTTTGATTCTAATTGACATCAGCTGATTATAAGAATATGTGTTGACAAATCATACCTTCTTTCATTTGTTTTGATACACTCTTTATTTAATGAAACACATTAATAGGTAGTATTATTCTTTGTTCTATATTTGACATAAAATAATTTCGATGTTAATCTTAATGATCAAGATTTACACCTTTTTAATCTATTGAATGATATGAATGACATACAGAATTATAGAATAGATCTATTTAGTTAATTGAAGTTAAGAATATTTTTACTCATTTTCCTTCTTTCGTTCTAGAATTAAACCAAAAAGATGTGATGATGCGCATATCCGTCATCATCCTAAAAATTAATAAAAAACAGTCCATTCTAATGTTGAGTTTTTT